ATATATCTGTTTCAAATGAACTGCAGAGGTCTGTTGTCATACAATGGCATCTTTGTCAGCAAAGTTTCATCCCGATTACGAGTATCACTAATGGGTGACGAAGTCTTTTGTATTTAGGTAACAAACCAGAACAAAACAACAAAAAACGAGATGCAAACCAAATAGCTGGTGTCTATTTTTTTCCTCTGTTTGTCTTTGACTGCAAATACACTGAACAGCTCTATATATAAGGGAATAAAAAAATTCTACTGTATAGATTGTTAATGTTTTTTGATGAAAATTGAGCTGTAAGATAACTTTTGGACTCTCACAATGTTATTAAAGTTACCTCTTGTCTGTGACTTTGTCAGGTGTGATTTTTTTATACAAGTATTCTAATTTTAGTATGATGGACATCATTAATGTACAATATGACTGCCACTGCAAGCAACAATATATCAGCTTTTTTTTTTTACTTTTTTGTGTAATAATATCAGCAAGCAAAAAAAGTTTGTCTTTAAATTTCAGTGCGTTTACATTCAGTATCAGGACATAAAAACTAGACATGGGTTTTTACGATGTGAAAACAAGTGTGCATTGCCATGTAGCATGTCATTGCAGCTTGGCTTTGCCTGCAGCAGTGGACTTGCAGAATGAAATGTGACCAAGTTCAAATGTGTTTTCTACCAACTTGTGCTTGTCAAGTCAGCAGGTGTTTGTGATGATGGTAATTGTGAGACAATATGAAGTTTAAAGAGAATTTTAGTTAMAGTTGCTGTAGCTGGRTTTTGAACCCTGATCTCCCACATGAAAGCCCATGGCATTAACCATTAGCCATTGGAGCTGTCGCAGAGAGGATTGCCAGGAGTTAGTTTGCATGTGTGCTGAAAGAGGCCACATTGCCAATGCAATTGTTGACACTAAACTGCAATATATCACAGCAATAGAGCAATATTAGGACATTATAAAAGTCAAACATCAAAATAGAGTCATATTAGTATTGTAACCACTGAACTATTGTGATTAAATATTATTAAACTATGTTTCAGTACTGAGTAGATACAGCAGGGGGGGCAGTATTGGACCAATACACGGTTCCATTGACACCCATTATAAATTATTAAACATTAATATTTCAAAAACTATACGCTGTACAGACACCAAAAGGTATAGCCATCATTTGGCACAGGAGCTTTACAGATATAAATTACAATGGCAGCTCTAGGACAAAGTATGCAGGAGAAGAAGTGTGACAAAGAGGAGATGACTTGGATGGGAAAAGAATCACAATAGTGTGCATTGCATTGACAATGCACACTGATGATCTGGGGCCTCGTGTATAAACGGTGCGTACGCATAAAAAAGTTGCGTGCACCAGGTTTTACGCCCACGTTGGGATGTATCAAAACCAACATTGCGTTGCTTTTCACCTGCCGTGAGAATGTGCGGCAGCCACGCAAAGTTTTTCAGTCGACAGTTTTAACTCACAACAGCATGAATCTGACCTGAATCCACAGAAATATGACTCTGTTCTGTTTTCTGGATGTAAGGAGTGTCTGAACACGGTGTTAGATTTTTATTTTAGTTTTAGTTTTTATTGTTTACACTCGAACGATCATGAAACTGAACCCAGGGACTGAAAATTGTTTAACCTGTAAACTGTAAAGTTTTTATATTTTTGTCACGTAGTTGGAAACACATGCAGAGCGCATGGCCTGCGAGGCGCACACACAGCTGAGGGAAATAAAATGTGTGTGAATTTTCTGACATTTTTAATTTTCACTGAGAAAAAAAACTTTGTCAACTCAGCATATTAATTCAGAACAGCTCAGCTGTGATGATTCCTCAGCTCCACAATAGATTGCTGCGTAAAGTTGTGCGTATGGATCAATGTCAGCTGTTCCCAGTCCCACACCGCGGCAGAAACTTGCAGCGCTGAGTCACTCGTTCCTTCCCTTCAACTATTAAATATTTTTCTAAGTTCTACCAAACTCATCAGTTCCTCTGTGTTTACAGTCATTTATTAAAGACATGTACCCACACACACCTTTGCGAGTGGCAAACACATTTTTACACCCCACTGACAATTTTCTCACTCATTCTCCATTTAATGTATAATTTTCCTGCATCTAAAAATCATTTCTGATCCCACAGAGAGGACAATCTGAGGAGAATCTCACACGCTGGACACGTTTACATCTATTTTACAGATTTAAATGGAGGCGTGTCAGGGGAGGGGTCTCACGTGCGCCAAGCTCCACGTTCATTGGGATGTATAAAGTAAAGGTGCGCAGGAACCTGCGTACGCACGGTTTTATACATCTGAATATTTTGGTGCGGCGCACTTTTCTAAATTTGTCCGTACATCAACTTTTAGTGTGAAAGCTGCGCAATCCTTTAYGCATGAGGCCCCAGGTCTTAAGAAGGTCAGAAAATTATTCAAATCTAACCTTAAGTGTATGAAAACAGATTGCTATGTCATTCTTATATTAAACAAAAATAAAGCCAAAATTGAAAGTTGTGTGGAAACGCTAATGGTCCAACCGCTTGAAGAACTACTTTAAGCAGCAGAAACCTGAATGGTTGTTTTCATTATGACTTCCTCAGACTCTCACATGGTTGTGGAGGAATTTTAGCCCACTCTACTTTACAACATCCCCACATAGCAAACAGGTGTTGGTCAGATCTGGTGTCAAGCTGGCACTGCTGGCATGACACGTTGTTTATCAACTAGATGTGGGCCAGGTCTTGCAATGATGGCTCTGTTTATATGGCATGCAACAACTGGCCCGGTTGCAGGTTGGCTTATGTGGTTCAGGTCTGTCTCATATGAACAGAGTTTGGCAAATACATTAAAACTAATAAACACATCAACACCACACTCTAAAACCTTTGTTTGTTAGAATTAAATGAGCACTAACCAAAATCATTGGACTTTGTCAAAAAATGTTTCCCATGTTTGAAAAAAAAAACAATATGTTGATTCCTCCCTGAGCCAACCAATAAGAATACAGAATGACCATCTAGTCTTTCACTTCGACCTCTACATTTGACACCATTTCCTAGGCTCTTATTGGCTCCACCTACCATGTTGTCAAGACCAAAAACAGATTGACTTACACACAGGCTGTGTCCARATTCAGGGGCTGCGTCCTCCAAAGAATTTGTCAGCCGATTACATGACTGTGCCACAACAAGAGGCTGTCCAAATTCAACTATTCCTCCGAAGCGGCTATAATGGCCGACAGACGCAAATGCACAGCAAGGAGTAAATGCTTTGCAAATGGAAAAAATGCTGCAAAGTAAAAACAATGCATTCATAAAATCAACTGCATGTTATAAAAAATATGAAATTTTTAAATGACTGCTGCTCGGTACAAATGATGCATTTATAAATCTGACTGCATGTTAGAAAAATGATGCAAGTTCAAATAAGTMAACGCTACAAAATAAAAAGGTTGTGTTCATAAAATTGACTACAAGTTAGAAAATGTTGCAAACTTCAAAGCGCAAACACAAACAACAAATGCAAGAAAACGACGCTGCAAAGAAAAAAAGGATGCATTCTAAAAACAGACTGCATGTTAGAAAAATGCTGCAAGTTCAAAAACACATAACAGAAGTGCTCCAGACCACTAGGGGCACACGACCACCGCCTCATATGGGACCAGACAAATTGTAAACACAATGATATATATTTTTATTATGCACACACACACACACACACATACACACACACACAT